TAGATAAATAAAACATCACTGAAAGGGCATACAATCTACATATCTACATATCTTCACTTCTGAAGGGATGTCCAACTGCAGAGCTAGTCTGGTCTTGCCATGGCCAAATAAGGATTTAATAAGTGGTGTTATAATCAACAAGTTGTGATTATTACAGTATTACTATTGAGTCACTGAGCATACCTCCAGGTGGTCTCCTACAGTGGGGCAGCACATTGCTGGATACCACACGCCATGCCCATGCATCATGCACCAGGTAAAAGGTTCACCTGCTTTGCTCCAGCTCCCTTTCCCCTCCAGCAAGACAAACTATATTCTATGAAATACAAAACCCACATTCAGTCTGTGTTTGCAATGTATCCTCTTCTGTTCCATCACATATGGTAGTCTGAAACAATTACATAATGAGACATACTATCAGGGCATAACTGTCAAACTGGAGAGACTAAGCAATGAATAAATATTATCCACTTATTAGCTATGCAGCTCTTGCATTCTCTATCTGTGCCCCTAATTTTAGATTTTATATTCATACCCTTGATTGCCTATGCAGCAAAATAATATGGTACAATATTCAAGAACAGATTTACAAAGGCAGAGGCAAATTCTATTGTAAAGTAGAGTTTCTTGCCATTTTGGTGGTATAGTCGTCTTTGTAATTCCATTGAAATCTATTGATTTTTCTCAAAATAGTGTTTTAAAATTCAAAGGATAAAATATATAGGCTTAAAATTTAGTCAATTATGTTGAAATAATACTAAAATTTTGATTTAGTAACATATGTGCTTCCTTATTAGCAAATTAACTTCAAAAATCTAGCAGAGAACAAGGGATTACTAAAATTTATATATATATATATATATATATATATATATATATATATATATACACACACACACACACACACACACACACTGTATACAAATATTTTTAATTTAAATCAAACAAAACTTAGATTATTATTTTTCTAGGGACAACTGAAGATATTTGGGGATTGTGGATGATTGAAATTTGTTACTATCTTTTTTTAAAAAGGAAGTTATAATAGCTATAATGTAATATGGAAATGTCCCTGATAACTATCAGTAGCAATAGATCATAGATATTGCTACTACAACTATATTTTTCTTGTTTAAATTTATACTTGAATTAACTTTTAGTTTCAGTTACAGGGTACTGATAATAAATTTGTATTTTCCCCATTCAGATTCACAGACTTCGTATTAAGAATCTAGCTCTAATATGACCCAATTTTGATGACTTAATTAAGTTTTTCCCTCAGAACCATCTCCTAAGACTTTAATCTTACAACTTAAAGTACCTAATTTGAAAGATTATCTTGCCACCATTACTCCCATGGAGATATTTGGAAAGACATTAACTCAAAAACCTAGTAGTATTTTCCTCTTCAAAAATATACTTTATAATATTCAATTGAACAAAAGGAAGATCTTCCTGAGGAGACACACATCAGACACACACACACACACATACACACACACACACACACACACACACCTATATCAGGGTGTGAGAATGTCTCAATGCTTGCAGGTAACTCTAGAAGGTAGAGCTAATTTTCACCTGGATCTCCAAGTCTGGCTGCAATTTTTGCCTTCCTATCTGTAACTCCACTTCTTTTTCTGCATACTCAAAAAAAGGTAACAAAAATGCAATGACTGAGCATAAAGTTGAAAGTTAATCTCCTCTGGTTCCTTTTGAAATAAAGTTAATTAGAAACTTTGTTATTTCATGATAAATAACAAATGTATTGTGGCAAATCTCCTAGTCCACCAATGTGGTAAGACACCATGGTTGAGAACAGCTTCTCTATACGTGGATACACACACTGTGGAATCAGTGCTGCAACATTATGCCTTTCAGGACATTGAGATGCCATTTAACATTTATTGAAGCAGAGCTAAAGTAAAATTTTCGGTGATCTGAAAGAGTTCATGTTTCTCTTAAGAAGAGGTTGGCAAACATATTATCTTAAGGGCCAGATAGTGAAGATTTTAGACTTTGTGGGCCATATGGTTGCTGTCACAACTACTCTACTCTGAGATTATAGTACTAGGGCTGAAACAGACTAAATAAGTGTGACTATGCCTGATAAAAACTAATTAATGGACCATGAAATTTAAATTTATACAGTTTTTATATGTGTCAGCATATTATTCTTTTACATTTTTTTTCACTTTTTAAATAAACAAAAGTAATTTTTAAGTCATAAGCCATACAGAAACTGTCAATGAAGTGGATTTGGCCCATGGACTAGGTTTGCTACTCCTATTCTAAAATGTGAAATCAATAACAAGGTAGCAAATCAATTAAGTAAGTTAATGTGATTAGGCCATCGCAGGGAGAGTTGCACTTAAATTTTGGCTAGAATGTGAGGTGAAGAAGTACTTGATATTCAGAGCATACCACATATAGAAACAGGGTTCAAAAAATATATGGATAGAAACTCTATACAAAATAAAAGATCACACATCAGGGCATCAGTTATGTATATACTGTGAAGATTGCACTGCATCAAAAATTGCCCATGCATTATGAGAGAAAGATTTGCATGTCACAAACTTAGTTCTTTTGTTTTTGTCTCTACCCCATGACACTTTGTACTTGCGCCAGTGTTTGTAAACATTCCACTGTTCCCATACAGTTTATTGTGTTAGCAAGAACATAATCATTTGAAAGCCTAGGTGTTGTAAACTTATGAGAAATAGCTTCTTTAGTGATTATTAATACTAGAATTGATTTTCAGAGTATTTTTGCAGGAAAAAAAACAAAGACAAATTAAAAGAAAGAAGAAAACAGAAGGAGGGTGGCAGACAGCAGCAATATGGTGTGAGTGTAGACAAATCTCTGTGATTCATGGAAAAGTTAGGGCTCACAGATTAACTCTGTTGCGAGAAAGTGTTTCGTTTCTTCTAGAATAGTTCCCATCAACCAGCCTCAGATCATTACAAAAATTAACATGGAATTTCACCTCTTTAGGAATTAGGCAGTACAACACCTACAATACCAAGTGTGAACTTCAGTCCTGTGACGGTGCTGCTGGTGGTTTTTGTTTTATAAATATCACCAGGCACACATCTGGAGCTTTAGAGCTTGCCACAATGCTGTTTTCTGGTTGACATATATCTAAGAAATGCGTATATTAACACCCAGGCTACAGAGCCAAGCACATTTTAGTGCCGGCTACAGCTGAAAGAATATGTTTCTATTCCTTGTCCATCTGTTCTTGGCAACATAAATTTAAACTAGAAACAGAATAAGCTTCATGAGAAATAAGTCTCAATAGGGGTTAGAGCAGCGAGGTGGAAGCTCTGAGCTCTGACTTGGTAACATTTTATTTCCTACCTGAAAGGTTGTTTTTACTTGGAGCAATCTCATGCCACAGCTACAATTTAAAATTTTTTGATTAATACTTTTTAATCATGTGCTTTAAAAAAACATATGATGGTTTGGTCACACATTCTGTTGTAAGTGAAAATTTTAAAATTTCTAATGATCATAGATAGGCCTCATGAACTTTGAGATTTCAAACGCTCTTTGCCACAGTTGAACTGCACTCAAAGTGAATCATTAGCATCTCTGAACTCCAGGCTAGAAGGGGTTCATTAATAAGGAGTGAGGGCTTTCTATACAAAATGGTTCCATAGAAAACAACTTTCTTGTTTTTCTAGGAGTCTAACTTGGCTATGGCCAACTAGCACATGTTTATTTGGTATCATCATTATGCATTCCCACTGTAGGCCACTTCCTCTAGATTTTTTTTTCTACTAAAACAGTCTGAATTTTTTAATTTTAATTTAAAAGCACGTCAGGAGTATATGGGACTGCTATAATAGAAAGGGACCGGGTGTGATTACCCATACTACTGCTTGTAAATCCAGGGTCTCAGCACTCAGGTCAGTACCTGAGCAAATGGACTCTTGGGGCAGCATCTCTGGGGTTCTATTGGTGCGAGTTCAGCCTGTACTTCTGAGTGACTGCAAATTCTGTCATTGGAAAGGACCTCCCCACTAAGTAAGAAACACTTATATAGTTTTTAAAGTATCTGCTTTTCATATAACTGATTTATCAAAGACTAGCCTAGTGTTTATGCTTTAAAGTGGCTGCTTTCAATATTTTACTGTATCACTTGTTCACTGTGCAAATATAAAAAATTACCTTCTCTGATTCTCAACTTCTCTTTCTAGAAATGGGGATAATTGAATTTTTCTTAAATTAGTTCTGAGGGGGAGCCAATGAGATTAATAGAACATGATTAGTCCAGTGACAGCTACTTGATAAACACCTAACAAGTGGTACTTATTAATATTAGCCCACCTTTAATGTTTTCTCCTAATAACAATAAATAATTACACTGTGCTAATTTTCTAATCTGCTCCTAAATATTAGTTTGGTAGGGTATGTTCCTTAAGAAAACATTTCTAGAAACTACCATTTTTTCTTGAACTTCTACACAAAGTTACTTATGACTGTGGACAAGTCACTCAAGGACTTGGGGATTCAGTCTTCTAGTCTATAAAATAAAAAGATTCAACTCCATGATCTCTAAGGTCTCTCATTTGAGTAATTTTTTAAAAATCATGTTTGACAGCATATCCTCATACTTTATTTATAGTGATGAGATGTGTACTTGCTGCCAAATGTCTGATGTAGAATGTATAAATGTTCCATATATACATGTGGAATAACATTAAGTTTGTTGATGTTAGAAACTACTGGTATGTTTTTTGGCATTATTTGGCTCAGAATTTTTTCTTCCCACTTGTTTTAGAATAAGCTGACAGCACATCGTTTTCCATAGAACCTCAAAGGTTTAGTGAAACTGAGAGTTATAGAAGTAGGCCATCTTTACTTTCTGTTTTTAAGACAGAGAATCTTTCTTTGTGAAGGGGCTTTCATTATTTCCATAATATCCAATATCATCAAATTTTGGACATATGCATATTCACTATAACTTAAAGGCATCTGTTTTCTTTCAGATCTGAGTGATCAGCTACTGGAGGTGGTTGGTTTGGAAGGAGCCATGGAGATGGGGCAAATATACACAGGACTGAAAAGTGCTGGCCGAAGACTGGCTCAATGCTCTTCTGTGGTCATCAGGTAGTTCTTTTTCTGAAATTGACAGAGGGGTTTGACATAACTTCACCAAAACTAATCAAAAGCACACAAGACTAACAGTAACATTTATTTTTGCTTCAAATTAGCAATGGTTAATATTTATATATTTCAAAATGATAGAAATTGGCAGATTTTTAAAGAGTATTGGCTAGCTATTACTTATTAGGTCCTTTGAAATCTGATTCTCCCTTGTTGACTACCATGGAAATGGTGATGTGTCCCTTCTAACATGCAAATTTAATCTCCCCTATGCTCTATGCTCATGCACACTCAAGTTTACTGAGGCACTATTTATTAAGTAAATACATCCAAAATAATAATTAAAAAGTTATTGATCAACTATGAACTTAAATTCTTTCATAGCCTAAGTGCAACACTGTTTCTGTGAAATTAAATAGTAATAAGTTATTGTATGGTAAAACAAAATGTGAATTAAATTTGAAATTTTCCAAGGAAATTTTCCCATTATTTCACTGGTGAAGGGGGGAAAAAGTCCATTTTGACAAGGAATCAGTCTCTTGGATGTTCGAATTCTGTGTATCCTTAAAAATAAACCCTGGCATTTTTTTTTTTTTGCATTCATAATTTTTGTTTTTAACACCATATTTACCAGGAAGCTCTTAACATTCTTATGATCTAGGTGCCTTTCAGAGTATTCATTAATAGTGAATAAATATCTCCCTTTCAGACGAGATAACTTTAGAGGTCCACTTTACCACATTTGCCTTCCCTGGTCTCATCATCGTCTATCCTATATATAGTCTTTTATATGATATATTTCAATGTTATACTTACAAGGACATATTTTTCCCTAGGACTAGCAAGTCTCTGCCAATGCAGATTGATGGGGAACCATGGATGCAGACACCATGCACAGTGAGTACAGGGTAGCTAAAATACCCTGTCAGTTTCATTTTTACAAAATGAAAATAATAAATAATCACAGTATCTAATCTTTTGTCTTGCCTCCTTTAGGACCTATAATCAAATAATTCCCCTCTTACTTATGTATCAAAGCCATTGCATTCAAGGTTTAGCAGTTATATGCCCTTGGCAAATTTCAGTTTTTGAATATACGTGTTAACCTACGCATAACTTTAAATACCATGGATCAATTATAAACTCTGGAACTAAGCAAAATACAAAGTTTCTAAACTTTCTTGTGTTTATTTCATAACACCTTATGAGAAAATTATTTATGGGAACTTCAGACAGAAGTCTCCCTGAATTTATTACTCATCTGTTATTTTGTCTCCATTTAGGGACTTGTGGGTTTGCTTTTCTATAGAAAAAACAAAAATCCCCCTTTTTCTACCATAGTTGTTGTCTTCATAACATGATATCATTTTTTTTATTTTTCTAATTAGTTATACATGACAGTAGAACACATTTTGACAAATCATAAATGGAATCTAACTTCTCCTTCCTCTGGTTGTACATAATGTAGCGTTACACTGGTTATGTAATCATATATGCACATAGGGTAATATCTGATTCATTCTACTATCATTCCTACCCTCCCTCTGTTTAATTCAAAGTACCTGTATTCTTCCCTACCCACCTCCTCATCCTTATTGTGAATTAGCATCTGCATATCAGAGAAAACTTTTGGTCTTTAGTACTTTTGGATTATCTTATTTCACTTAGCATGGTATTCTCCAGTTCATCCATTTATTGACAAATGCCATAATTTCATTCTTCATTAAGGACGAGTAATAACCTATGTGCATATATGCCATGATTTCTTTATCCATTCATCTGTTGAAGGGTATCTAGGTTGGTTCCATAAGTTAGCTATTTGAATTGAGCCTCTATAAATATTGATGTGGCTCTGTCACTGTGGTATGCTGATTTTATGTCCTTTGGGTATAAACCAAAGAGTGGGATAACTGGATCAAATGATGGTTCCATTCCAAGTTTTCTGAGTAATCTCCATATTGCTTTCCAGAGTGGTGCACCAATTTGCAGTCCTACCAGCAATGTATAGATGTACATTTTTTCCCCACATCATCACCAATATTTATTATTGCTTGTTTTTTGTTTGTTTGTTTTGGTATCGGGGATTGAACTCAGGGACACTTAACCATTGAGCCACATCCTCAGCCATTTTTTGTATTTTATTTAGAGACAGGGTCTTTGTGAGTTGCTTAGGGCCTCACTAAATTGCTAAGGTTGGCTTTGAACTCTTGATCCTCCTGCCTCAGCCTCCAGAACCACTGGGATTACAGGAGTGCACCACTGTGCCCAGCCTGCTTGTAATCTTGATAACTGCCATTCTAACTGGAATGAGATGGAATCTCAGTATAGTTTTGACTTGTATTTCTCTAATTGCTAGAGATACTGAATATTTTTTTCATATATTTGTTGATGGATTGTATTTCTTCTATGAAGTATCTATTCAGCTCCTTAACCTATTTATTGATTGGGTTATTTGTGTGTGTGTGTGTGTGTGTGTACATGTGTGTGTATGAACGCGTTTATGTGTGTTGTTTTTTGAGTTCTTTATATTGTGATATAATTTCCTTCAAACATTTTGATTCCCCCCAAATTTTTATTTTCCTTTGTATGGTGAATATCTCATATTGTCATAGTTCAAAAGCATGCTAAGCTCTTGGCATTGGGGATAGAAATATGGAAAGGATCAACAATATAATTATCTCCAAAAACTTACATTCTGATAATAGTTGACTAAATAATTAATAAATACTTATAGAGCAAATATAAGAGTTATGACAAAAATAAGGTGAAATAGTGATGAGGAACTAGATGGAGTATGGGTATCCTACTTTAGATAAGTGGAATGGGAGATCCTTGGAAGGAAACAGTAAGGAAGATGGTGTGACCAAAGCTTCTAGAGATCTGGAGAGTAGTAAAAGAAAATGTTAGAAATGGTGGACAGCAGACATGATAGTATGTGCAAAACATGATAGTATAGAGTTAGAATTTTATTATAAATGCAATAAGAAACTATTAAATGCTTTAAGTATCATCTGACTTACATGTTTAAAGTTCACATTGACTGCTATGTGGAGAATATGCTGAGGAGCAAATAAGAGACAGGTTTATCCATGTTGTCTGGGAGGTGGCAGGGAAGGAAAAGGGAAAACTAAAGTTTGCCAAGGGCATGTAATTTGAGCTACATTCTGGAGTTTTGAGCAGGAAGAATTTACTAATGCATTCTTTTGAGATGGGAAATGGGAGATGAACAAGGAGTTTTAGTTGAGGCTAACTCGGACCTATAAATGACAATGCTATTTACTTAGTAAAGTTGGGAATGAAACTGATTAAGGAATAACAGGGGGCTGGGGATGTGGCTCAAGCGGTAGCGCGCTCGCCTGGCATGCGTGCAGCCTGGGTTCGATCCTCAGCACCACATACAAACAAAGATGTTGTGTCTGCCAATAACTAAAAAATAAATATTAAAACTTTCTCTCTCTCTCTCTCTCTCTCTCTCTCTTAAAAAAAAAGGAATAACAGCACAGGGCCTTCATCTTGTATAAACATTGTGTTAAGTGCTGATGTTGAATGAATTTATTATTTTTCACACGAACCCTGAATAAACATCTGAATTATCAGATGGAAAAGTGAGGCTTTGGGATTTTAAATAACTTATTCATGTTCTGTTATGTGGCAAATATGAAATTCATACACAGGTCTCTTTATTGAAGTATCATTTTCTCAACTTCTAGTTCAAATAATGTAAACTACTGATTCCAAACAGCACACCCTAGCAAATCAAAGGGAATTTTTTTAATTTTACCTCTTAAGATTGAACTCTGGAGCTGTTAGCTCAACCTTAAGTATATAGCACATAAACATAACCTCTTGTTCATTTCTTATTCTGTTTCATTATTTCCTAAACAGTAATATTGGCTATTTCCTGTGCTTTCTGCTATTTTTTATTTTTGGTTCCAAATATCCTTTTTAAAAATTCCTTTCCCTCTACTTACCGGAATGTCTACATTTATACTTTATCTATTCCTCTTTAGGCTCTCCAGATGACACTTCTGAATTCAAATTTATATTCACATAGATGTTAAGGGTGTAGAAGTAGTGGTAGTGATGGCGGTGATGTTGGTAGTAGTGGTGGTGATGGTGGCAGTGATGGTTTTACTGGTAATGACATTATGGAGACATTTATGATAGTGATGGAAGAGTAATAGTAGTTATGATGGTTATGGTGAAAATAGTGGAAAATTTCCTAGTGATGGTAATGATAGTAGTTGCAGTGATTATGGTGTTCATGATTGTAATGCAGAATGGTAGTGGTTATGGTGACAGTAGTTCCCTTGTCTTTAATAAAAGGTCTCTATTCATCAGTCATGTCACAACAAAATAAATTTTAAAAAACAATGAAACCAAATAACTTCTATGAATATTCATTGTATTCCTTTAGACTCTTTGGGAGAGTAGAGTCTCTATACTATGTTGTGAGTAAAGAAGCTGAAATGGCAATGATAAAAATTCACATTTATTAAGTTCTTATTGTGTGTACATATTGAGGCACTCTCTCTGTTGACATATTTAATTCTCCCCAAATAACCTATGTTTAGCCTCACTTTATGAATGAAGCCACTAAGGTAGGCAGAGACTAAACAGATTGTCTAATTCTGCACACCTATTAAGCGGCAGGGTAGAAACTGAAACTCAGGTGGCCTGGCTCCAGAGTCCTCATTCTTCATCACTGCGCTTACGGTGGATCTCACCCTGGAAAGACCCCAGTGTACCCAAATGAGCCACCTCCAGAATGTGACCATTTACAAATCACTTACTGACCTTCTCCAGCTTTAAAAAAACTATGTCTATTGAAATTTAAATAGTGTTTAAGAATAATTGTAGCTTATTTCACATAGCACTTTTGATAATACTTGTAACTTTTATTTTAGTTAGTAATAGTATATTCATTTCACTTCTTAATTATCATGATCTACAATTGTTATTTTAGTAATAATGTGTATATAATTTACATTTAATTTTCTCTTCTTGTAAATTCACTTACTCATTTATGCACTGCAGCCTACACTGGGCCAAGAACTGTACTAGACTGTGGCTCATTATTGTTATTTCACATTCTGGCTCATTCTGTTTTTCCTAGAACCACATGGAGTTCTAAACTTTAAATTTCATTTTAATTGAAGAGAATATTTAATATCCATAGCATTAGTATGATTTAACTAGAAAGTGTTTTATTTTCTTCAATCAATAACACAATATTTTTCTTACAGAACATAAGAATTGGTAGAATGTTAAAATTCTTTGCTGAATTTAAATACCCATGAGCTGATATTCAAGTTATGAAGAGTTTCTCTAGATATAATTTTAGAAGAAAGCAGAAGTTTTATTTTTCTTTAAATAGAATATATAAAATAGAAGGACAAGCAATAAATGTCTTGATTCAAAATCCATAAATATTTTTTTAAAAATCAGGATAACACAGGTTCTTAAGATGGCTGGTGGTGGTGCATAACAATGTGAAAGTATTTAATGCTAATGAACTTAAAAATGTAAAGTTAAAATGGTAAGTTCATATATATATATATATATATATATAATAAAAAGTGACTTAAGAAACAATGTAATATTTGTTTATAAACTTTACTAATCCTGACTTCAAAATATGAAGAAAGGCAAAGACCAAAAAGTTTTAAATTTGCCCTTGAAATATATATTTTTAAATTATTTTTATGACTTTCTAAATTCTCTCACTGAAAATCAATCTACAGAAGTTTGTTAAATATCCCTGTGTTCACAGTATTGTAATAATCACCAAGTTAACAAAGAATATATTTTAGCCATATAACTATTTAGTCATGCAAATAAGCATATTTAACTTAAGAGGATCTTAATTCTAGAATAATGTATATTAAAATGTTCTA